GCCATGGAAAATCTCACCTTGCTCTTCAACATTGATTTTAGATTCAACAAAATTGGTGCTATCCCTCCCTATGCCTTTGCACGTTTCCCCTTCCTGAGAACCCTAGATCTGACTGGCAACTCCATCCATGTTCTTGGGCCCCTTGCTTTTGCTAGGTTTGGTAACCCAGAGGGAATGGTCACCACTGAGATCAAGCTGATTGATAATCAAATGTACAAAATGGAAGAAAATGCATTCACAGAAGCCGTCAGTGGCTCTTTCACTCTAAATCTGGAAAGAAACAATTTCACAGACGTCCCTTCATCTGTTTTCAAGGACGCCCGAGGTCTTACCCTTTTGAATCTTGCTGGGAATCGTATCAAGGCAATTGGTCCTAGAGCATTTTTAAATCTTGTGAAATTAGATTCTCTTTTGCTGTCAGGGAATGGTATTGGTAGTATTGATGATGAGGCATTCTTGGGCATTGATCACTCATTAAGAGTCCTTGTTATAGATGGTAATAACCTGGATAAAATGCCAACTAAGGCAATTGCTTCACTTCAGAATATTCAGGCTTTAGACCTTCAAAACAACAGGATTACTGAAGTAGATTTCTCAGAACCTATGCTTGGCAACCTCCTAAGCTTTGTTGCACTGTCTCTAAATCCTATCAGAAGTATTAATCAGAATGCTTTCATTGGTCTGTCAAATGTGCAATCTCAATTCCTGGAAATTCACTTAGCTAACAGTCAACTTTATCAAATCCATAGAGATGCCTTTGCTCCTATCAAAACTGTTCTCACAAAACTGAACCTGATAATGAACCAAATGACTGACAGCAGTCTTGGATTTTTGCATGATTTGCCAAAGCTATTCTCTCTCCATATGTCCAATAACTCCCTACATGACATCCCACCAGCAACATTTGCTGGAACACCCAACATAATGGAGCTTGTGCTGGAAAACAATCACATTAAAGAGGTGACTCAGGGTACGCTGTATGGTCTTGGTGAGCCTCTGGGAGCACTTCTACTTGCTGGTAATGAGATAGAGTCCCTAGAACAGTGTGCGTTGGACCACCTGCCAAACCTTGCCACCCTAACCCTCCACAGTAATCCCTGGAAGTGTGACTGCAGTGTAGCCTGGATGAGAGTTCGTGGTTTTGAGCCTCTGCTGATTCCAGCGTTCTGTGCCACCCCAGCCCAATTTGAAAACACTACTCTTTTGACCTTCCCCATTAATAACTGTGGCCTGACTCAGCCCCTCCCAGCCTGCCCTGACATGACCTCCCCAGTGACCTCAGCTACCACCCCTGGGTATGTGGGACCCACCACCACCCTCCTCATCCCCCCTGGGGCCTGTTTTTACAACCCTGGCTGTGACTGCCCCACTCCTGAAGGCAGTGGTGCCTGGGCCATTACCTGTCCAATATCCAAAGACATGAGGGTGCCTCATTTCAACTTTGTAGATGAGAAGGTGAAATACATTCATCTTGAGTCATCAGAACTCAGTGAAATTCAAGACTTTGCCTTCACCAATACCCCCAATATTTTCCTCCTCAATGTTACTGGTGCTGATATTCATAACATAGGTAGATATGCTTTCTCTGGCATGGAGCAATCTCTTCAATGGCTGTACATTACAGAAAGTAGCTTAGAGGCTATCCCCATTGAACCCTTGGAAAACCTCACTTCTCTGACTTACATGATTTTGAAAAAGAACAAGATCAGCTACATCCCACCCAATGCATTCATACGTCTGGGCTCTCTCTCAGTCCTCGACTTGTCTGAAAACAAAATCACCACCATTGGGCCTTATGCCTTTTCTGGCTTTGGAAATATGGTGGTTAATCCAAACTATAACTTCCATGCCATCAACCTCACCAGTAACCTGATCAGCAGTTTTGATAAGACTTCACTGACCGATGTCCGAGGTAGCTCTCTGTGGCTTTATTTGGATCACAATGAACTGTACACTTTCCCTACTCTGGCTCTCAGCATGCTTAAAAATAACATCAGTGGTCTATTCATGAATCATAACAAACTAACCTCAGTGCCAGCAGGTGCTGTCCAATCTCTCAGCAATCTCTACAGTCTTGGACTTACTGGAAACCAGATCAGTTCAGTTCACCCCGAGGCTCTTGCAGGACCCTCCTCTACACTATTTTATGTTGGTCTAGATCAGAATGAATTGACTGAAATGCCACTGGAATCTCTCCAATCTCTCTCTAATCTTGGCCAGTTCACTTTTGCTGATAACAAACTAACATCTCCCAAGATCACCACCAAACTGAACTCTGATAAACTAACATCTATTGACTTGTCTGGTAATGACTTTGAGACTATCCCAGCAAATGCATTTGAAGGTTTAAATCCTAATGTACAAATGAAGGAACTCCGACTTTCAAATTCTAACATCAGAACTATTGAAGAAAATGCCTTCAGTCCTTTAGAAAGCAAAATTGATGCAGTTTATCTAGATAGTAATAACCTGGATGAAAAATCCCTTGTTGCCATTGGTGCTTTAAGCAGTCTGAAAAAACTGAATCTCAGCGAGAACAACTTTGAAACCATCCCTGCTGGCAGTTTTGAGAACACCCCCATGCTGGACGAGCTTCTCCTCAGCAGCAACAACATAGAGTCTCTCCCTGTAGGAGCTCTGGAAGGACTGGAAGAGTCACTGACACACCTGGCCATTGATGGGAATAAAATGGGAACCTTAAGCGAGTGCATACTTAAAGATTTTGACATGGTCAGCTCAGAGGAAGCTGTTCTGACTGCCCATAACAACCCCTGGGTATGTGACTGTGACATGGCCTGGTTCAGAAGGTCAAAGTTCATCACTCCTGAGATGCCAGACTGCAGCCTGCCTGCAGTATACAGAGATAATACCATTGGTGATTTCCCTATTGATTCCTGCCCTAACACTCCCATAGACTGTACCAGTACAACCACCACCTCCACAACAGCCTCTACTACAAAGTCCACAACAGAATCAAGTACAATGTCCACTACCACAGAGTCCACTACAGTGACCACAACAGAGGCCACTACTGTAACTACTGCCACCAAGTCCACAACACTTTCCAGTACAGTATCCAGCACAGAGGCCAAGACCAGTACAACCTCCAGTACTGCTACACAGACCAAATCAACCACAGCAAGTACCAGCAGCAGCAACATGGCTGTCACTAAAGAACCAGCCACTACAACCTCTAGTACAACTTCAGAGAAGACAACCTCTAAAACCAGTGCTCCTCAGACTACCACATCTTTGTCTGGGGAAGCTGGAAATATTGGCAAACAAGAAGGCAATGAAGGAGGACTCTCCCAAGATACATTACTCATCATCATTGCTGCATCAGTAGTGGTGGTTGTTCTTATTATCATTATTGTCATAGTTGTGGTTTGTGTGAAGAAGAAAAAGGAAGGTGCCCCCAAGCCAGAGGCCAGTAATGGACATACAAATGGTGGCTATGTCAATGGTAACGGACACACGGGAACAGAAATGGCAGATATGTAGACATAATGAACTTTTGTGAAACAAAACCCCCAAATGTGTAGACTATACAACATAAAATGTTGCCTAAAATATAGACATGAATAAGACAATAGAATGGCTTCTGCATTCATAGTAAGTCTATATTGTAATTAAAAGTTTAGCATTACATTATACGTGAGACTTAATGTCCATGTCTTTATCCAATGAGCTTTATATTATTTTCAAGCTTTAAAAAGATATTTTAAATAAGTATTGTTCCCCAGGAAGGACATGCATTGTCAAGTTGACTTTATCATTTATAATAAATAGATACTTCTCTGACATGATATAGAACCATTAAGATTAAATTTCATGGAAGAAAGATACACAAATTAACATAATTGTGCAATCAACAGGTTTCCCACAGGAAATCTCCACATCCATATTTATGTGTTCTAATGTCTTTCTTATGTAAATAATAATTAGTACAGTTTATCAAGGATAGTTTCTGCACTTATAATAATGTAAATATATGCACTTCATTTGATACATGACTCACATGATGATGTAATTCAATGTATATAGATCGTAAGACCACACTCAAATGTCATATATTGTGAATACTGTAGAGTAGAGAAAAAGTTAATTTATGGTAGTAAGTCAAATTATTAATCATCAAAATAAAAAAATGCCAAAATGCCTACTAAGTGCAATTTAAAACTTCTCTCTCTAATACAGAGTTGATGATGTACTCAGAACAAGGTTGTAAACATGAGTATCACTCAGTTAAATTTATGAATTTAAATAATTGTGATTATATATTTTTTCTTAAATAAAAAAAACTGTCAATAAAGTTATATGGACTTGTTTTTTCATGAAAATAAGAAATAGAAGAAAGAATGAAGGTGGGGGAAGGAAAGGGGGAGGGATAAAGACAAAATTTCATAAAAAAGATGGGGAAAATATAAGAAAAAAAAACTTCAAAATTTCCACTTGGGGAAAATGGCTCATAACAGATGAAAGAAATGAGAGAAACAAGATCAAATGTGAATCATACAGGGAAACATAGCCCTCACTTATAATGAGATAGTACTCCATTCGAAAATGCCATGATTTACTGCTATCAATACTTAATCTATTTAACATTATATTTACTGCAAGGAGGAAGGGAGGATGGAGATGTCACTGGTGATAGGATTGGCTGTAATATGAGTTTGTGCTGTCAACCATATAAAGCCAAGATAGGACAGTAATAATAAGTAGGGTCTTCAATTATGGTTATAACACTTATTCAAATGATACAGACAGTGGCACCACAGGTCACTTGGTTATAAAATGAAATAATGAAGTTCTCCACTCTATTTCTATGAAATGAACGATAAAATAAATATCACAAACAAAAATAGATTTTCAAAAATAAAATGATTGGGTGAAAAAATTAATAGGGTCCACATCTAGAATATCTCTCATACAAAACATTTGCTGCTTTCATAGATAATCTAATATTTGTTTTAATCTTTAAAGATCAAAGGTATTCCTACCTGAAAATAATCATCAAACTTGAGTGCCCTATTTGCCTCCCAGTCATATCCAAACCTCTTCAACTGAATGCAGAGCAGCGGGGGTAATGCTTTGATGCACAATCTCTTCACTGTGTCTCGCTATACAAAATTTAAGTCATAAAATTTTAACAATCTCATAAAACTCTATGTGGCCAGATCATACACATGTTATGCATGAATTGTTCTATAGTGTCATTTCAATTTCATACAATATCTTGATCTCCAATCAAGAAAAAAAAAAAGGAAAAGAAAATTTGACGAAACTGGGGTTAACATTTATCAAAGATGAGTAACTCTCAATAATATAATTATACAAATTTGTAATGCATGAAACATTCATAACTTATCATTATATCAAAATGAAAGCTTATTAATACCCATAAATAGCATATCCATTCACTGACAAACCTTTTCCCCACATTTTTCACAAAAGTAAGCATTTTCTCCTTCCAACAACTCCCCTTTCACAAACTGGTCTAGAGAATCCTGAAGAGTTGTATTTTTCACAGTCAAATTCAGAGCATAGAAAGCCTCTTCCCTTTCATACCTGAAATGAAGTGTATGCTACATTTTTTCAAACAGTTCAGCTTGGATAAAAAGATCTCTATCATTTATTGAAGTGTTTTGCTTCATATAAATCAGCTCTACAAAATCTGAGGCTTAGGGTTTACATTTTTTGTCTTACCGGTGAGGACAATCCCTGCAAATTTTCTGATCAGAAAAGATACCCTGGAATCTTCTTTTGAAAACAGTTTCTCGCCCAATTTTCTGCAAAAAGAATTTAAACATGATAACTGATTTCCAGAAAATAAAAACACAAATCGACCCAGTCTCCTGATTTTCATTGTAAGAAATGCATTAAAACTATCAATATGCCTCTTCTAATCCATTTGTTTAACTTGTTTGAAATCGATTACACATAGCTTGCACTAAAAACAAATTTAGTTATTTGATTTATCACAATCATAGTAATTCTATCACCTTTAAGTGTTCATCTAACTGGTCTATCAATGCTGTGAAGAAGTCAAATGCATCCTGCTGTTCCCTGATGTTGACAGTCTGACCCCAGAGTTTGAACACTTTCCAGAATTTCTCTGGTTCATTGTACTGAAGTTTGCTTTCCATAAGATTGCCAAATACATGCTGGATCTGGTAGAACACACTGAAAGTTTGATTAACACGTTAAAAATGTTCATTCAATGTTAAAGAGTAAAATGATTTTTTCAATCTAGAAATAACCAAATGTAGTTAAAATGGCAAAATCACATTCAACAAAAAAAAAAAAAAAAAAAAGACAAAAATATATTTAAAACATTAAACTAAAAAATATCATACAATTGGGCACAAACACAATGAAGAAAGAATCCAAAAAAAACATACTGAAGTTTATACAAAACAAAATTCAAATTTCATAAGAATGGGTTTTTTTTAGATATTAAGATAGCTGTTCTCACCTCTCTTCGTCTAAATTTTCATCATCTATGCCCAAAATATACTCTGGTATTCCTGGGACCATATATAGTAACTGGATCACAGAATTCATGTAACATGTAGCACCACCATTTTTCAGTCCAACAAAACCACAGCTCGCTCTACTTTCCACTGGAGGGAGGAACTAAAATAAAGCAGATGATTTTTCTCACTGTTAGAAGAAATAAATCAAATATGTCAAAATAATACATGAAGTGATGCAGCACTGCAGTTAATCATTATTACTACTTATTCATTAAAAAATGCTATGAAATTCAATATCCCTTCACAAAAATTATACCAAAAATTTTAATGTAAACATAATCTTTTGCAAATTGAATAAACAAAATCACAAAATTATAGAAAAAATTCTTGATCTTGGTTTTTACAGATTAGTTCTCAATTATTCTGCCTTGTCAAAACAAAAGTGATCCCCAGGGGTTATCATGTTGCCCACCTCCCACTCCTGTGCAGTGTCAGGGTTATGTCTGTGGTGCATGTTCAGCAGCTGTCTACAGATATCCTGCAGGTTCTCAGCACACTCATTAGCAAGTTCTACCAACAACTGGTAAGCTGCCACTCTGGACTCTGGACTGCCACATCTGAAGGGTTAATTATCATTAGTCTTTATGGAAATTAGACAATAATACACCACTGAGCATCACGCACATGTCAGTTTGCATTTTAACATCCCTATCAACTGAAAGAGATTTAAACACTGAATAAAATCTATACCAGAATACATGTCAATAAAGGTTAATTAAAATTGCCATGCATAAATTTTTTAAAATTCCCCTTTGCACTATCAATGCAATACAGTAACAATACATTTTAACAATATGCAGTACATCTTAAATACCAATGACTATATTTTGTATCAAGATTTTCAGAAAAAACTTTGGCCAATTTAGCAAATTAAAATTATCAATATTAAAACCCCAGTGTGACTGCCCTCCCCCCTGCTGACCTTGAACTACTGTTCCACTGATTGTTGTTGGTGTTTGTGGGCCCAGGTTCATCTATGATGTGCTTAGAAGATGGAAACAGAAAATCATTCAGCAAGTCTTTCAAGAGATCCTTGCCTGAAATAAGAAAACAGCTAATGCATCTAAAGCAGTTATGTTTGTTCATTATTATTCATTTTTGCAAAAAGTATCCTTGCATTTCTTTTCAACATCTTATTTTGTTACTCAAACTTCCTACACACTTTAACTTGTCAATTTAAAAACCATCCATCTCTTTAATAAAATCAGTATTAATTTGAATCTTAATAAGGTATTTTCCTCTCCAAAGCTAAGCTGTGTAAACCAAGTAAAAAGGAAAGTAAAAAACAAAACAGACAACAAGAAGGTTCCTCCATACCCCAGGACCTTTTCTCCACTCCATCACATGTAAAGAGAGTCCTTATCAGATTAAGGTGTCCTTCTAAGAGAATATTGTCAGTATCCATCATGCCATTCTGTTCTGATGGATTAAAGTTTCCCAGCCAAGCTATTTCATCTTCTAGCATCTGGGTTGGATTTATTTGTAGCTTCTTTTGTGCGTCAACTGAAGAAAAATATAATAAAATACCACAATGTATGTGAAATCTACAATATTAAGGAAACAACATCGAGTTGCAACATTTACCTTTTCTTTACTCTTAGATAAAAATCTTACCATCTCTTCAAGATACTCAATTTGTTCACTTTACAAACTGTAAATTTATAAACTTGCTTTATCTTTGGTAGCATAAATCATTCACAGTCAACATTAGCATGATTTTATATGCTCTGGTACTTATAATGAAATACAAAATGCAACAAAACAAAAGCTTCATCTACAGCATTTATTATGATAAATATGAGATGTACAAAACAAAGATTTACCTCTTGACCCAAAATCAAGTAAATTCAGGTTGTCCCCTACAGTATATCTATATTGGTGTATTATAGCCTAAACTTACCACTCAACATTTCTAAGAGAGAACATCTCAACTCAAAGTACTGGGTACACTGGCTTAGCAACCTGTATATTCAGAAAAACAATGAATAAATTTAGTCAGAAAAATGAAATATTTCACAGCAATTCCTTAATCTTAAATAATATTTGCAATTACCATTTTACTATCAAATTAACTGTCAAAATTTTTTGCCATAAGTGTTTCAAAAATCCTCACAAAATAAATTAATAAGTAAACTAATAAAAAAGGAGGGGGGGTTAAACTGAGAAATGAAATTTATTCATTTCATTAAAACACAATAAAAAATCATTTCTGTAAGTTACCTCTGACTAGATCCTCGGATACTACTGGAAGGCACCCAGAATGGCAGCCTGGCCTTCAGCAGGACCTGGAGTAAGAAATGGTGTGGTGTCTGCTGCCCCTCCTGCTGGGGAACTACTGATGTCTTGCTCAGTTTGTAAAACTGGTCCCTGGCACATTTCCTGAGCTCTAAATCAGGACAGCCGACCAAAACATCAATTATGAAGTCTCCTATGCACGGTAAGTTGTAGAAAGATGCTGGAAAAGAAAATCAAAGAAATGGTTGTGAGTATATAGCAAAGCACTAGTGAAATTCCAATATCTGGAATAAGCTGATGATTTGGAGGAGAAGTTAAAATCTACTTTCAATGAAAGTTCATAGTTTTATAACAAAATTAAATCTATAAAATGTATTTGAAAATCTGATGCTTCAAAGATTGACCTATTCTTACTGATGTAAAAAATATGGACTGTGCATTCTTCATTACTAAAATGTGGATATAAACACAAACACATGTCAGTGGCTTCTACAAGTTTACCTATTAATTGACTGCGTAGCTGCAAGCAGGTGACCAGAAGTTCTAGAGCCTCTTTAGCTATTGTGACATCTTTGTTAGATATACTAGTTTGATGGGCACAGACTCCAGCATACAGGGACTGACTGTCATCACTACTGTTACTAGCTGTGCTGCCTGCATAAAGAAAAGGAATCAAAGAACAAAATAAACTTTTTAAAGAAAAAAAATTAATAACTGGACTTTTGACTGTAATGTCTATCTAAATAAAATGTTTGTTTAAATACTGTTACATGAGTTTTCTTGTTTCATTCATACTTTTCTATGAGAGCAAAAAGGAGAAAAGTTTAATGTAAGAAATGGCTGGGAACAGATGGGCGTGATTATCAGTCATTTTATTAACTGACATGCCAGTGAAAAATCTTATTTATTGGTAACCAAACAGAATTTTATATCAAATATAAGACACGAAGAAATGTGATAAATGTCCCAACTTGCCTGTACTACTTTGTCTGCTGCGTCTTCCACTGCTGGACTCTCTGATTGGCTGTACGGCACTGGCAAGATGGAGTCTTCCCGCAGCTGCTGCCCAGGTTACACGCATAAAACATGAGACCGTCTCTGTGAAGTCAGTGTTGCTCATTGTCTAAAAAGGCAATCCAGATCAATGTTGTAAGTGGAGTGTTCATCAATCAAACAAAAATAAACAAATAAGCAAACATACAAATAAATAAATAATTTTAAAAATGTTTACATAGATAAAATATTGCTGTATTATGCAAACCATATATTTTTTAGTCATAACAGCCAAAACATGACTTAATAATGAATGCTTTAAAAATCATAATTCAGGCTTGCATATATTTGATGTGTGACACTTGCCCAGCAATATATTTATGGTTATCAACCTGGAGCACCTACCTGTATTGCTATGGCAGCTGTCTTGGAAGATGAAGTGGACTTGACAGGAGATGACCTGGCTGCTGCTGCGGCTGAGAGGCTAGCACCAGTGCTACTGTGACGTCTGCGTAATGTCAGGATTTTACTGTCTCCTGTTGCTGTTTGTCCACATAATAAATATCTGGAAAAAAAGGTAGATATTCTTTTTAATTAAGATTCTGAAAGCACAATTCCCATGTTTTTTTACTGCCTAGCAGGTAAGTCTCTTATGATAAAACTTTTTTTTCTGAAAATACAAGGAAATCTCTTTAAAATTAATGACTATTTTCATATTCTTACAAACAGATTTTAAAAACAAAATTTCATGACAAGGCACCACCCACAACATCAACTCTGTGGTGAACCTATCCAATGAGAATATTTTACAAAGGGTTTTGTTCAACGTAACTCTGCATGAATGTTGACTGCTATCACACCACTAGACAGGGTGATGAAAATTAAAACTTGGAAATAAAGAAAAAATTGATGTGAAATTTATAACTAATCTCACCTTAGCAACCTAAGGCCTATGGCATAACAGCCTTGTCTGGTTTTATAATCTACATCTGGCGTAATGGCTTCCTTCTGAAGCAGATTGACCACCAAGTTTAATCCTCCACCATTGAGGAAATCGTCACAGAAGTGTTTGGCACTTTCTAAGGTCCCTGATTCTTCACAGGTAGGCATGAGTTTGCTGCTTAATACCTGTAGCATTAAAATACAAAAGTAACTGTGTAAGAATATGTTATCATTTAGGTTATTTTTACTAATATATTCTTACTAACTCAAATGAACACTAAAAACAATACTTGTTTTGACTGCACCTTTATCTTTTAGACTTGGTGATAGTAATGATGCACATATCATATTTGGTGACATAAACAGATAACTGTAGAGTAGTTAGACAGAAGGCACTAAAGGGCCAGCATTACATATACTTAACAACAGGGCAGCTAGCCATATATCCAGACACAACAACAAAGTGTCTGTCCATAAAAAGTCTCAGATTTCTCTACCTCAAGGTTATAAAGCACCCTAAAAGGATTCATATCTGGTGACGAGGCATCAAACAACCCCCTGAGAACATCTTTTGGTGTAGATTTAGGACTGGTGAGTGGCGCTGGCATCACGGCAGCTTTCCTGGGACTGTTCTTAGGACTGGCTGCAGGGCTGGGACTGGCCTCTGGAGAAGGCTGTCTGAGAGGCTGTAACGCAGATGGCGTGAATGCTATTCTTTAATACACCCATCTCCTGCTCCATTATTTATAGACGACTGACTTTACATAAACAGTCATATTTTTAATCAAAAACTATTTTAATTATCTGTGTTAAACTAATATTAACATAAAGACTGTAATCCTTAAATCAAAGTACTCCTGCTCACCCTCTGCCCAATGGAGTCCAAGGCATCACTGACTGAGGGGTCTGTGGGGATGAGTTTCAGTAAATTTCTCACACAAATCATGATCCTGAAAAAGATAATAGTGATTCTTTTAAAGAATGCATTATGTGCCAAAAAGAAAATATCTACTAAACTAGGTTGTAAAATGCAGAAATCTTTACCTGCTCACATAATGATTGTAAGAAGAAGAAAAAGAACAACAATAATATGTAAGCTGGTTAAGCAAAATAAGACTCTGTATATCACACTCACTTTGGTTCTTCTAACTCTGCCATTTGATATAACATATCAAACACCTGGCCACCTGACGCCATGACAACACCAGGTAATGTTTTTTCCTGAATAAACAAACAAACAAAAACACATATTTAAGGCATGATATTCAACATAGAGAATTCTGAATTTTGGCACAGAAGTAATGATTCAGCTAATTAAAAAACAAACAAACAAATGATGCTCTGGTCAGTAAAGTTTAGGAGGAATTGCTCTTTAATGGTGCATTTTGTTTATTTAAAAATTCTCCTAACAAATTCCTAGATTGGTATATATTTACAAATGTGCAATGCAACATACCTGTTCTAGATCAAATGTGGACCTGTATGATGGAGGTGGCTGAAATAAAATGTGAAATATTTCAAAATCTTTTACTAAAGATACATTTAGATTGTATGCTTTCTGCTCATATCAAATATATCAAGCTCATTGAGAGCACAATATATTATATCTTATAATATAAATAATGATATCTAAGGATGATAAATATATCTAAATCTATTTTCTCCAAGCAACTTAATCAGTGTTTTTTTTTTTACATCAAATAAGTCTGGCTTTCATAAGTAATTGATATAACATGTGAAATTACAGTGAACATGTCTCACCTCTTTAACAGCAGCACTTCCAGACCCTGATGTCCCAATGCCAGTTAGCGTCCGCACACAAACTGTCTGCTGGTCCTCAATATTCAACTGATGCATCAGCTTTTGGTCCTTCATTTGTGTCAACTGAAATGTAGACTGTATCAATCAATTTATGACCCAAACTAAAGATATTATTCTGATTTATTTAAATATAAAGTCTACAAAGACTACAATAAATAATGTTTGAAAGGTATTTCACAGACTGATTTCAACAAGCTAAGCTTGAACAATATTTTGCGTGTTAAAAAAAATAATTAGATATATTATGACAGCATTTAATATAATCATTCAATTAAATCTGTGATTACCATTTTGTCATTGGCCACTATCTGAACTTGCTCTGGTGAACACTTCAACTCCATAGCTATCTTCTGCCTCACAGATACTAGTCTTTCATTGCTGTGTGTCTATATTGAAAATGAAAAATAATTATAGATAATAAAATGGAGGAATGAAATGTTTCAAACCTTGGAAGTGTTTTCACTATACAATATTTTTTCATTTATCTAGCAAATTCTATCTGATACTGCCAGAAAACCATCATATACCACATCATAGATTAGATTAACATTTAACTAAAAAGGTAAAAAAAGGGAAACTTCAAAGAAGAAAAGTTTTTTTAACTGTTAAATGGTATACTTCAAATTCATAAGAACACTATAAATCATACACTGAAATGCTTAAATTTCTAACAACCTTTCACAAATAATACCCAAATGTGAAAACTACAATTATCCATCTATCAAAAATATCCAAATGAACTTACTGTGACTGTGAACTCATGTTTAGGTGACTCTGAACTGACGTACAGGTTGAGGGGATGTCCCTGGAAAGATGCACCATGAGGGAGGATGGTTCTAGGACCCATATGTAGCTCTTCCACTGTCAGGATGTACCTCTCTGCTATGGACAGGAGCCTCTCTATGTTCAGTAACTTGGCAGACCTGGAGCAAAATATTTGTGTTACAGATTAAAGCCTGATACACTATATACAAGTTGAATGCTGCAAATGTAATGCATGCTTTCCGCAACAGTGTACGTGCAAAAATAAATAAATAAATAAATAAATAAATAAATAAATAAATAAATAAACTTTCATATCAATATAAATCACGACTGTTATAATATTTCAAATATTAATACTAAGCCATGTATTACCTGCTAGGTGAGGGGACAGAAGCCACCTCTGGGACCACTGCTGCTGTCAGGGTCTTGGTTGCAGTGGAGAAAGCCTGGAAAATGGCTGAGCCTCCTATTGTTATCATTGCACCCTGATAATATGGAAAAGACTGCCTTAAAAACCACGCAAACATATTCCTTGTATAATTTTCATTAAAGAAAAAACCAAAGATGAAGATGAATTTCATAAAATTTAAGAACTAAAATATAAGAACTAGAATATTACAAAATGTCAATAATATATTCCTTTGTAATAAAATATGAAAAGAGGTTTTCTATGCAAATGAAATTTTCTACTTTTTTAGAAACAATAACAAAATTTACCTCAAGTCTTCCATAACATTCCTCGATAAACTTTCTGTGCAGTGGAACAGGATCCTGTGACAGGTAGAAATAAATTTATAAATTCAATGTTACTTTATTAACTAATGTTTAAACCAAAAACAGTACTTCTTAGCCAAGGCATCTGTCCTTACCGGGATGAACTTAATACCTTCAACTTGACTTGGAACAAGATCACCTGATAATGTCTTCTTGATTCTTCCATTTAACATAAAATAAATCACCTGACATCAGAAAGAATCACTGCATTCCATTAATCCAGGAATAAACAGTATATTTTTTTTTTTACATCTAAGTTTATTACGAGACCCACCTTCTTCAGTTTTGGTACCAGACTGATGTAGGACATGTGAAGTAGGACATCTATGGCTTCCTGAGCAATGTCTTCATCTGTGATATTGAGGCATGTCTCCCACAGATAGTCTAGACCAATGAGATCACTTTTCTCAACAACCTAAAGAGAATGTATACCAATGTGTAAAAACATGTTGAAGACCATATAATGAAAATATCCAGCTTCATAAAAAGGCATGAGTACACTATCTGTAGTAACTATAACAATTGTAACATTAAATTTGCTTTAATTTTAACAAATGGCAAAATCTGTGAAACTTCATGTACTTACCAAGAGAGTACCCTGCTTCTTTAGTTTATTCTGATACATGTTGACACTTTCAAAAAAGAATTTCCAGCACCTGAATCCTGCAAAAATATAAAGGAAAGTATAATTAAACCAGAGATTCACCCAAATTTTGACCTTTATTAGAAAAGATACTTCACATCTAAGTCTATTCAACATTAGAACTTTAAACCTTAGAGCTAAAAATATTGTTTCAGTACTCAAACTTACCCTTTTCAGTCATTTTACATGGATCAAGCTTCAGCAGCTCTTTCTGGAACAGCGATTCTTGTGTTTCGGCTTCCAGGTCAGATATCCCTTTTGTAAACCACTCAAAACACACCTTAACAAAAGTTAAATTTTATAAGATTTGAAAGAAAAAAAAAACATTTAGCTAGACTGTATAACAGATAGATATTCAGCACATTCTACCTCAAACCCAAACGACTTGCTTTGTTTACCAAGAACAATATGCCCTTATACTAATTAGTACAATAAAAACTTGTAATTCCGTACAGCATGTCAGTGATCTAGAACTTGTTTCACTAATGACCAACAGCTAATACTTGAGCAAAAAAAAATTTTTCGCTCTAAGCAACAGCCTGTATAACCTCTTGTCTGTGGAGTTTCCATTTATAGTCAGTGGACACCGCTAGACTGGAAAACTTAAATAAATAAATTGATCTAAATGTGATCAAAGCACCCACCTCCTTGTCCCAGTTGCAGGCCTCAGGGTTGGCCACCAGGGTGTCCCATATGTCCCTGGCCCTGTGCCAGGATAAGTACAGTGCCCCTTCTTGTAATGTGAACTGGAGGAATTCTAAATGGACACTAACATACTGAAAAAGAGTTAATACCTAAAGATGTGTTTGAGCTGAGAATTTTGTTTTCCAACCTGTAACTTCCACTGAGAGTAATTATAGGACAAGACGGGAAAGAAAAGAAAAACTTAAGATATCTAATTTAAATATTACAAAGTATTAGCCCCTCTTACATTATTTATTTGAGGCAATTCATTTCTAAATTATAAATGTTTCATTACTGAATTTGTGCACAGAATTCTGGTCCAAAATTTAAAGATTCTTACATCTTCATGAGTATATCTGCCATCCACAACTGTGTCTGGTTGCAGAGGTTCTTCCTTGGCCTTTGCTGCATCAACACCCAGTTTATGGCACTTGACTAAACTATTGGTTACTAACTTAACTGTATCACAGGTTTTGTTGAGGTCATATAAGATACCCTAAGAAAATAGATAGATATTCATCATTTATAAATTATTGTCCACAGATAATTTTGCTCATAATTTCAATGATCCAAATGGTCATTTAAAATTCAAAATGAATCTTTTCAGGAAGTGCTTCAGAAAAAAATTCTTACCCTGTCAGCTTTTGAGAATGTTTGCTTTGCTATATTTTTGGATATATGTAAGAGTTGTTTCAAAGCAGGTAGCACCCACACTCCCTAAAAGTTAAGTACAGAAATATTTATTGAAAAATAAAAATGAAAGATCAATCTATTCAGAGTTAAAATTCTAACATAAGGTAATCCTTTTACTGTAAAATGTCAGACATTTAAGATGTTTGGAATTAACTTTTAAGCAGTATCAACAGTAACTTTACATAAAACATAAAATAATAGACTTCAATACTGTAACAAGTTCAATCTATTCTGGACTTACCTTCTTTATGTCTTCCACACATTTAGTTAAGTAATTCTTCTTCACCTGCTCTCGCACACTATAGGCATCACTGAGAATGACCAGATGTTCTCCCAGGGCCTGCTCTATTAAGTTGGTGGTCAGTGACGGGACATGGGCCAGGTCCCACAGCAGTTCCAGCACTCTGGTGGTGGTCTTAGGAACCCTGGCATCCTTCCCTATACGCCCTATCAGACTCAGCAGCCTTTCTTTCATTTTGTCATTCTCAACTTGCCAGCTCTGGAGAAGTGTTCAAAGACTTTTTTATTATTTTTTATTTTATTTTTTTATTATTATATTATGTGGTGTGCATGTTAGAAGATAAGTAGATTATAAAAGCATCTTCTATCTAACGTATAAACTGATCAGATAAATGAAAATCTTTAGATGGGACCTTAAGATCTTAAATGTAACCTGTATAATATACAGCAAACATATAGTTGTAATTTTACATGAACAGATTTTTTATAATATTCATTATATTCCTGGATTCTAATAGCCACACGCATACAGCAACAGAAATATAAATTGTATTAAAAAACAATGACCACTATTACACTCACTTTCTGTACAAGAATAACAAAGTTATCGAGTTGCTGAGGATTAAACTTCACTGCCGCAGCTGCCATGATGGTGTGAATATTGTCCACAACATGGTTACTTCTGCCATGCTGAATATGTACAAAGAGAGCATATATGCAATACAAAGGTTTAAAACATCCAGAACCCTACTTTATTAAGTTGATTGATTGATTGAATATTAAAGTCACTCTTACTAAAACCAGACATGAAGCACCGAGTTTCTATTTCGTTCAGGGTATATTGGCAATGTTGATGACAGTAAACATTAGAATTGTCTATTAATATTAACCTCCTTCATATATGAATTACAAATAATCACAGTTCACCCACTTAGATTACAATGTGATGCAGGCATACTGGTGAGCAATTAACTACTAGGCATTTGACATAGTGCTTTACCTGGATTTTCCAGATTTGTTCTATTTCATCTAAAGAAAGTCTAGTTCCTAGAAAATCTACTATGCCTTTGATTTTTTCACAATATTGGTCTTGGTCTATGTTTCCTGAAAATATAAACTGAACTTTTAGAGAATTTCTCTTGTTAAATATCTTGAAATGTAATTCAAACAGCTTAACTTGAATGCATTGAATAGCATTAATAACCCAATCACCCAGTATAGAGATGGTAAAACTGTTAAATGTTTGTCTTACAGATTTCTTGAAAAACAGCTGCATTCAAGAATAAACTTAAAGGGATAATAACTCTTTGTTTTGGCCAAAAATGAATTTTCCTGGAGTAAACAACAATTTTCCCATACTTACCAATGGTTAATGAATCCATTTCTACATTCAAAGTTAGTCCCTGTTTTTTTCTAAAAAATTTTTTTTTGTTATAGTCTCTTAAGAGATTATAACAGACTATAGCCATCAATGGAGGTCATGTGGTCTAAAGACAAGCTCAGATAGCAGAATAACAGCTATAACTGTTGTTTTTGTGGTAAAACAGAATATATTATATTTCTATGAGTTGTTCAATGTTTTCATTGTGAAATATAGATCTCATACATAGAGTTATTATCGTTTTAAAGACGAAAATAGAATGGGGACTAATTTTCGAACCAAACCTTCTAGTGCCAATGACAACACATTTTTCTCTTCCAGCCAATCTTGTACTTTGTCAGCATGTATGGCAATTTTTGACATCTTGGTTGCTGTAGCATCTTCAATTAGTCTGGAGACCTATCAAAAGCCAATAAATTCTTTCATGTTTATATGAAACTCATTAAACTGATGTAATAAAATGACAACTGCTCAAGTAAATCACCACTTTTGAAATGAAATAAAAAATTAGTGTTATAAAATTTCTAGTAAGCAATATATAAATAAAATCTATTTTTTGTTTAATGCAAATCTCTTTAAAATATCATGTTACAGGAAAGTTAAGTACTTAAACAAGGTCAGACAGATTATTCTTATTGTACCTCTTTTAAAGCATTCATCCTTGCATTGAAGTTGGGTGATTTAATCATCCTGAGCACTATTTCTAGTCTGAGTTCATCCACAGAAGAGACATCAGTCTTCCACATCTCCAGGCAGATCAATTTAACTGTAGCCAGCAAATCACAAACACTCCCAACTCTCTGAAACATCAGAATATCAGATCAACTATATTTACACTTTTGACCTCAGAAGTATTTCCACCATTTTCCTTCATTTTCTGAATCAACTATTAAAAGCATATTCTAAAACAGTTATCTGCAAATCCCATTTAGACAATGCACTGCTATTTCATTTTTTTTTATTAAATTTAATTTCAATTGTTAGACAAGATAATTTGCATAACTGTTAAAGGCTGATTTAATATTACAATCTTCTATTCAGTGTACAGTGCTAACAATGAAGTAAAATGACTTTTTCTTTCACATGTTCAAACCACTGCAAATCACTGCCTTTCCCAAGTAATGCACAAACCTTATCTTTGAGATCATTCTCACTCAGTCCTTGAACAAACTGAATGACCCTCTCCAGCCCATTGGCCAGTAATGGCTTGACCACGTCTTCATTGAGGAACTCTGCACACTGACCAAATGGATGAAACAATGCAGCCATTGCCTGGAATTGTGGAAAAATCATTAATGCCTAACAGTAAGAGTTTACTTACTATTTTCAAAAGTAATAAGGTCATAAGTTGAACGTTCTGAGATAAAAATTACTATGTCAATTTAGAAATAACATGACTGATTAAGCCAATATTGAACAGAATACTAAGAAATACTTGTCTGTAATGCTCTGAACGTGTTTCCTGATAGGATGATGTAACTCATACTTTGAACTTACAGGGGCATCTAAATCCTCCTTCTTCATACTTTTTTCAATGCAATGGAATCCACCTTTAAAGGCAAACTGAAACACAAAATGCATTTTGCTTCAAAACTAATATATCAATAGAAAATAAATTAGCTGATAATATATATTCTTCTATGTTAAATATGATTACTTATTTCTA